ATCTATGAAAAATTATTCTTAGAACTAAAGAACTTGTTTTATGAGAGCCCTTTGAAGAAATGGGTCCTGATAACGGAAAAGTACCCTTTCAAAATATTGAACAAGATCCTTAATTAGAAAAGAAATAATAGAGAAGCTTCGATAACTATCAAAATCAATTACTTGATTGACCTTCAAAGGCAGCACCCCACTGGACTGAGGGTATCTGGCTCTGGTAATAATGTATTAGGTCGTTCCATAAGTTCGTAGCGTTTTCATTTTCGTCCTCATATCTTTGAGGAACGGTTGATTTGCGGCAAGATGCGTATATCATCTGGAAGGGCTGATTGTGCTCTTTGAAATACGTCTACTGATGTTCGGTGGAAAGCTGGTTCCCTCGGATCTCGCAGCCTCCAAAGATGGAAATCTTGAAGAGCAAAAAAGGCAATCTCGGCATTTGCGCCTTTTTCCTTATAAAAAAAAGCGGTTTTGCACAGAGTTTTGTGTCGATTACGGAACTTGGCGCTCCCACATTAATATGAAACAAAAAAGGATCGGATTGCTACAAAAGGTCAAGGGTGGGCAGGGTGCACCTGAACAAGACTTTTCGGGGGACGGACAGGACGTCCTGCACTGAAATTTGCTGTACAGGTAGGCGATGGTCAACCATACCGTAAGCAATCCAACTGCACCGTCTAAACCAGGTTTCACCGCAGAAAAAGCCTAACAGGCAGATCCAGTGAGCTTTTCTGCATGCTAAAACATGGCCTCATAACGGCGGACGTCGTCAAAACTGTCCTGCACGATTTGACTGGAAAGTGCTTCATCACCCAAAATACTCTCCAAACCTCGTTCTATCAGATTATCATTTGCTCCGCTCTCTGGCAAACCTCATGAATAGTGCATGTCTCGATTTCAGTAAGCAGTTTGAGCGCTAGTTAGATGACTTTCCTGGGACCCGGCGTGCTGCCGTTTGAAAAATTGAGATTGAGAAGCTAACAAGAATGTGCCAAAAGGTCGTGCGCTACAACGAGGAATATGATTTTTGATTTTTACTGTAAATTGATGATTTTGTTTTTTTATAGCAAAGCTACGAACTTATGGAACGACCTAATAATAGTAGACCCCCTAACTAAGCGACGGCAGAAGTTTGCAGTGCGAAAGGGGGTCTACAAAGTGTGCAAATCGCCCCCCAAGTGGCCCAAATCTTACGGTAGGCTCGGGCGGGTACGAAATGCACGGTAGAGACGCAAAGTCGTTGCGGGACTCTGCACTCATGACTGTATGCGCTATTATATTGCGGTATATGGCGGCGTCCGGGCTTACCGTAAAATTCGGCCCACTTTCGGGGCAAATTCCAAGCTTGGTAGACCCCTTCTTGCTCCGAACTTCAGCCATCGCTTAGGTAGGGGGTCTACTTCACATCGCCACAAAAACCCTGCACCCATCTTTCTGCCGGGACGCTGGGTGTTAAATAGCTATGTTTCATGTCGCAAAGATGAACATAAGATGGCTATTGCAAAATTCAAAAAAAAGCTTAGGCTTCCACTTACATTGCATGGAGAAAAAATTTATCAAAGGCTATATTTAATATACATTTTATTTGGGGTCAACGGGCAAAGGTTGTTGTTTACTCTGTTTTTGCTAAACGTCAATCGCCGCTTTGCCAGGGCCCGGCGGGGGTGGCGCTTTCACAAGCTGGATATCGTTTTTGGCCCGAAAAAGCGAAGGGGAAGTCGTATTTTGGGGTCCGGGGTGGAGCCCCAACAATGCACATATCATTCTTTCATCATTCCTAATTGATGCCACTGTCCTATGAACTTAGATTCCAGTAATGTGAAGATTCTGTGCTCCGATCGCTAGCCTTCCCGCAGGAGGGAATTCATATCGCAATTCTTGTAAGGGGAAAATAACAAAATAGGCTCGTTTCCAATGCACAAGTAACGATATGGCACCAAATTTGCTGTGTAGTTGGAGGACCATGAGCACAAAAAAAGTATGAAGAATTATGAGAAACTTTTGTGAATTTAAAAAATGGCAAGTGTTTTTCGAAATTAGGTGGCTCCCTGCTTCCCTTCACATAATTTCCCGGATTTCTTTACATAAATGTGGACTGGGTCGAGTATTACTTTATGTTCAAATCCGCTTCCAAACCACCAAGGCACCGCTTCGATACAGCCCCAATTAGGGTTCACAGCGTTATGATCGGCTTCGGAAAGCGCGCTCCAATCGCAATCGGTTATTGTAAATTGTAAAGTTTCGCAGCTGACTAATGAATGAGTAATATCTTAGATATGTAAACGTCAAAGTTTGTGCAAATCTTTACCCTATATTTTTTATAGATTCCTTTGCGGATGAACCCATTGAGCTGAAACCTTGAAAACATATGTTTTCGGCCTCGGTAGATGGTTTCAAGCTACCCTTCGAAGCAATTCGTGGAATTCTTCTACCGATTTAATGATTTTTGGCACCTTGTAAGGAAAGTGAACACTTACCAGCCGCTAACAAACTGCTTGCACATTTTGGTGTGAACAATGCAGTGAAGCTCATTTCCACTTCAAAATTAGAAGGTGCAGTCACTAATGAGCCTTTCTGGGGTAAGCTGGTGCAGGAGGGTAAGGGGGAGGGCTGCAGTGCAGTATTAATACTGCAGAAAAGGGATGGAGAATATATCCCAAAAGGACGAGAAGGTAGAAGGACAAACTGTGGTTTTTGGCCATCCCCTCAAACGATGACCCGGGCTAGACCAGGAAAGCCAGGTAGTACTACTATAATAAGCGCTGAGGCCACCCATCTTATTATTTGTGTAAATCTGTTTGTCAGGGACTTACGGGGGTCAAAAATAGGGTCGAAGGGAAAGTCGTAAGAAATTTTGGCTTCAAAGGGGATATCGTTTTCAAAATTCTGAAATGCCACCTCCTGCCGGGCCCTGCGCTTTGCTCTTGTAACCTGCAGAATGATAGCTTTGATCCGCGATTGCCTTTGAATTTTGTCGACAATGCAACAATGTTCGAAAAGTATTATAAATTCTGCAGTTCAATAGCAATTTGCTTGCTGTTTTAAAAATGTGTTGTTGCGTCGTTGCTTATCATTATTCTTGCATTAAATTATCTCAGTGTTAATAGAGATAATGGTAACGTTAAGTGCACTTAATTTTGGATGCAGCTGTTATTGCTTTAATAAGCATATCTATTTTTTGTTGTTTCTCGCACTAATCCTTGCTGGTGCGCCCATATACAGGAAAACATGGTTTTATGGTTTTGCTACCTTTTGATAAACCTGTTCACTTAACAACAGTATTGTTTAAAATTCTTGAAAGCATATTCTAACTTCTTTCAAAAATATTGAGACTCAATTAGTAATACGTTAATATTAGGTTGGCCCGAAAGTTCTTTCGCAGCAAGGTCAAAAATTCATAACGTCCGATTTTTCCGACCGATTTGATCGCTTTCATTTTTGTATGAAAGTGTAAGTCATGGTCTTTATGAGGACTTCTTAGCTGCTTAATAATGATCATCTTTTGCATAGATAGGAGCGATAGAAGAAAATTGGTCAAAATTCGAGTTTCTCGTGTAGGGTTATAAAAAATCGGAAACTTGCAATAAAAATCGGAGCAGTCAGTATTATAGGTTCTGTTACCTGCTCTTTCTAACTATGCAAAGTTTGCGCTGATTGAGCGCCTCTATGAAAAGTTACGATTTTCGAGCAAGCAATAGAAAGGGGCGAATTTGATTTATTTTGGCATTTTTCAAAAATACTTATCATAAAGGCGCTCAATCAACGCAAACTTTGCATAGTTAGAAAGAGCAGGTAACAGAACCTACAATACTGACTGCTCCGATTTTTGTTGCAAGTTTCCGATTTTTTATGACCCTACACGAAAAATTCGAATTTTGACCAATTTTCTTCTATCGCTCCTACCTATGCAACAGATATCATTAGTAAGCAGCTAAGAAGTCCTTATAAAGAGCATGACTTACATTTTCATACAAAAATGAAAGCGATCAAATCGGTGGAAAAAATCGGACGTTATGAATTTTTGAATTTGCTGCAAAAGTATACTATAATCGCGCTATATTCTGTGTACAAAGATGAGTTATATTTTATTGTTTTAAATACTTCGATAGCTGCTTACTCCAATAATAAACAAACTTGTTTATCGTTAGTCGAAGTCATTGGGTTCACTGTCGAAAACAAAGTTTACAACTTAAGGTTGTCCTAGAAAATTTGCACATTGTTCGGTATTATCAACTCCCTGCATCACTCTTTCGCAGATTTTTAGGTAGATTCTATGGAACTTACCCAACTACTTAAACTTAAGCTTGAAGTATGAAGCAGGTTATCAGTCACATTGTATCACTGTAAGTACAGTAGAAACTTTTAAGAGGGTTTTGAGCCTATGAGAGTTACATTCTCCATTGAAAAGAACACCGAGCGAGCCAAAATTCACTGATTTCAAAAATCAGGTATCATCGCAACTTCTTGTCATGTGATTCCAGAAATATAGTAACAAAGGTTTTCCAGTGTTTTTCAGAACTCAAAAAAGGCTAAGCAATGTATGTAGTTCTGAGTTTAAGGCCCCGGACAGACTTCACGCGATTTGATCGTCGCGACTGAATCGCGACGAGACAACTGTTACAACATCATTCCATGCCGATCAACTTGCATTTCGGTTGTGATACTTTTACAGCCCGAAATTTTTGAATGTGAAATGAAAATGAATGAAAATGTCGGTGATTGAGTCGCGACGATCAAATCGCGTGAAGTCTGTCCGGGGCCTAAGGCAGCTTTAGCACAGAATAGCACCATAACAGGCGCGAAAAGGCATCAGAACAGAGAGGTATTAACAGCCAAAAAAGACATCTTCTTTAAGGCATCTTATATATGGAAACTTGAAAAATCAAAGAGCTTACGCAACACAAAAGAATTTTCTGAGTGAATGACAGGGATTTTGAAATAAGGAAATCTCGATTACCAGCGATCTGACGTTTCTGCTTAATTAATCAAATTTTTTATATTACAGCAGATAAAGTTTTGTGGGATGAATTTTACAACACTAGCGCTTCTGCTGTGTGTAGGTCGAATCCATGCATTATCTTGGAGGCCATGGGGTCGTCCGAGTCCTATTCGCCCTCAATGTCCGAGCTAGTAAGTTTGTCATATTTGATCAGCCTATAAGATTATGAGGATTTATCGTCAATAATTGTCGATATTTATCTCTGTCTTTGCCCTCAGTGTTCTTTGTGACCGAAGGATAGCTTCAAGTGAGCTTTGAAACCTACAATGAAAAGTATGTTCCCACAAAATAACAGTGTTCATAGTGGTCAAAAAATTGTACAGGTTTTTGTATTTTCTTCAGTGTTTTCATTCAAAAACCCACTGTCTGACTCCTTTAAGCCTTCCTCTGCTGTCCTCCATTGTCTAGCAGGCGACGATTCTGCATGAGCCAAACAACTCTAGGGCTTTTTTGGGGTTTCAATGCGGCTTCCACGGCTACCTTAGCGAATATTTGTATTTGCAGCGCGGGCCAGAACAACCGGGTACATTTCATACGCTTTACCACCGCGGGTCTTTGATAGGGTGAAAAATTCATAAGAATCTAAATCGGATCGGCACGAGATTGGAAAGGCTTGTCCCACAAAAATTTTGTGATCCAAAGCTTAGTGAAAATCTGCTCTCGAGCAAATTTTGCCAAGCTTTAGAATAATAAACATTCGTTAGAAAAATATAAAAACTTCAGAGAAGGTAACTTATGGTGGCGTCTATGACCAATTTTTCGTTTTATATCCATGCGATTTCACGACCATGTTGCCAGAACTTTTGACACCAGTATAGTAGAAAAACGAGTATCAATATATCGGAAAACTTTCAATATATTCGAAAAAAGTGCACATTACCCGGTGTGAGATCTTTCTATAAATCTTATATATAAAGCTGAATGTCTGTTTGTCTGTATGTCTGTCTGTATGTCTGTCTGTCTGTATGTATGTGTGTACGTATGTTCCGAATAGAAAATTCCATTTCTGAACCGATCGGGACCAAACTTGGCACACATACACTTCGGGCCCCGGCGGGTGTCATAGGCTACTTTTCGTCATCGATCGATATCGATTTTATCGATTTTTATCGATTTTTTTGCTGAGTTCACCTACGGGGCTGGGAGTTGGCACAGGGGGGTAATCGAGCATGGGGATTCCGAATACAATATTGGTTTTCAGGATTATCGATTACTTTTATCGATTTTATCGATTTTTTTGCAAACTTTGAGCTACGGGGCTGGGAGTTTGCACAGGGGGGTAATCGAGCATGGGGATTCCGAATACAATATTGGTTTTCGGGATTATCGATTACTTTTATCGATTTTATCGATTTTTTTGCAAAGTTTGAGCTACGGGGCTGGGAGTTTGCACAGGGGGGTAATCGAGCATGGGGATTCCGAATACAATATTGGTTTTCGGGATTATCGATTACTTTTATCGATTTTATCGATTTTTTTGCAAACTTTGAGCTACGGGGCTGGGAGTTTGCACAGGGGGGTAATCGAGCATGGGGATTCCGAATACAATATTGGTTTTCGGGATTATCGATTACTTTTATCGATTTTATCGATTTTTTTGCAAAGTTTGAGCTACGGGGCTGGGAGTTTGCACAGGGGGGTAATCGAGCATGGGGATTCCGAATACAATATTGGTTTTCGGGATTATCGATTACTTTTATCGATTTTATCGATTTTTTTGCAAAGTTTGAGCTAGGGGGCTGGGAGTTGGCACAGGGGGGTAATCGAGCATGCTGATCACTCCCAAGGGGGGTGATCAGCATGCTCGATTACACCCCTGTGCCAAATTCCAGCCCCCTAGCTCAAATTTTCAAAAAATCGATAAAATCGGTAAAAGTAATGGACGATCTTGAAAACTAATATTGTATTCGTAATCTGCATGCTCGATTACCCCCCTGTGCAAACTCCGAGCCCCGCAGGTCAAACTTTACAAAAAAAATCGATAAAATCGATAAAAGTAATGGACGATCCTGAAAACTAATATTGTGTTCGTAATCAGCATGCTCGATTACCCCCTGTGCAAAATCCCAGCCTCGCATGTCAAAATTTACAAAAAATCGATAAAATCAATAAAAGTAATCGATAATTCTGAAAACTAATATTGTATTTGGAATCCCCATGCTCACTTCCCCCCCTGTGCCAACTCCTAGCCCTGTGGGTGAACTCTGCAAAAAAATCGATAAAAATCGGTAAAATCGACATCGATCGATAACGAAAAGTGGACTGTGACACCCGCCGGGGCTCGAAGTGTATGTGTGCCAAGTTTGGTCCGGATACGGCGGAGCCGGGTAAGCCAGCTAGTTGAGTTGTATTTCCAGATAAAAATCTATTGCTCTCTTGGCCGAATTTACCTTTCGAGTTTCCGCATACTTTTGTGTATTTTTTCTTATTGGACCACCTAATTGGAAAGCGTTTATAGTCGAAGTGAGGCTTTCGAAGGAGACTCACACCAAATGGAGCATTGTAGATGTCTTCAATTCTGCCTTCACTGTCTGCCAATTGCCTCTAAGCGCCGAGTTATGATCATTTCTTGGAACGAAAGATGAATGCCGAATTTTGGTAAAATTAATTGTTGCAATCTTTCCAGCGTTAAAGGCAGCGTCAGGGCAAAATTTCGAATGGAATTTTTTCCGCTTACCTAGGCTTATTCCTCCCGCTGATTCTGAAAATGCAACTTGGAGGGGACGAAAACGTCGAAAACGGGCTTTTCCAGAAGCTCTTGATTTGAATTTTGTCGCCTGTCGCCAAGGTTAAGACGAGTCTTTGTGGGACCCTACGTCTTGACTGTGTGCGGTATGCGCGCTTTGGCTTACCGAAATAACTAGTCCCGGTCGCCGGAGCGTTCCGGTCTCCACTTCTGAAGCGGATTTCTCGCTTCAGAAGCAAACTGGTACATTGCCAGTTGAACGAGAGCCTTACCAGGATGAGCGCCTCTGTACTCTACGCTTCCGTATCTGCCCAGACGCTGCCCTTAAGTTTCAGCATATTAGACAAGATGTGTTCATTGCACAAACTGCTCTGATTCGACGCTGGATTCAAGCAAATGGGCAATTTTGTTCCAGTTTGGCATTAAATTTTTCAATTTGAAAAACACCCATAACTCGGCGTCCAGAAGCGCTTGGCAAATAGTGAGGGCAGATTACTTGAATTGTTGTGCAATACTCTCCGGAGCAGTATGGATCCCATCTGAAAAGCGCACTTTGACTAAACACGCTTCCCTTGTTAGTTGAAGGTACTGCCTCTTTCCTACCTTATTGAGCCCGTACTTGGCAGAAAGAAATGTCATGCTTCTTCCATTTGAAATGCAACTACCTTGGTGTGACAGGTCTCACCAGAATTTTGTGCCCCTTTCTCCCTGTTTATGTTTTGTCTTTTTCGATCAATATTGACTCTTACTTTCAAGAATAAAAATTGGGTATAGAGCGTTTCGTACGACTCTAATGCATGCTAGAAAGGCGGTTTTGCCTAAGCAAAGCACAGGGGAAGGAAAGATTTGCCCTCATGGAACATCAAACGGTTCGCCACTAAGGCCGCATTCGGTGCATCGTTTTCTACTCTAAAATTGTTTTTCTTTTTCAGTTTGTGAAGTCTTTGGTTAGAAAACTATCGCAATTCTTGATTTTAAATGCGCCTCAAGCTGTAGCCGGATGCTTGATATTTTGAAGCGGTAAACGCTTAGTTACTTGGTAGAATTGATGAAGCATAATCGATTTCTGGTTTCAAATGCCAAGAATTTATCAGTGTTTAAGTCGTTTGTGTATTTTACAATTTCGCAAAACAATTTTGAAAAATCATTTTGCAGAATAATATTAGGTTGTCCCGAAAGTTTTGTCCGTTTTTTTAATCCATCGGCAAACACGCTAGAATGAATATAAACAATCGCTCCAAAATGTATCCAATGCAAAATTTCTTCCTCTTTACAGCTGCTAAACTCATTCTGTTTCGTTGCGAGAGTGACGAGATATTTGCTGGAAATTACAACCACTCGTTTTTACCATGTCCAAATTTCGCTAATTTTCGAAATTTTTGTTTGAGACTTTCGGAAGAGCCTCAATGACCAGCAGATAAAGCAAACCTGTTGCCAGCAGATGCATTTTTTTGTAGCCCTACGGCTTGTCTTTCAGAATTTCTACGCTTTATTTTTTGAAGTGACCAAATTTTACATTCGGCTTATTTTAACCTCATAGAACATAAAATGTTAAGCGTTCGGTCACCATTCGATGCAGATTTTTCTCCTCTTTCTAACGCTCGTCTTTTGCCGACACAGGCGAAATTTGTGGAAAAAATTGCAGTATTTCTCAGTTTCAGGAGTGCGCACTGACGTAACTTATGTTTCAAAATCTTCATAATTTGAAGCGAAGAACGCTCATTTACTTCCTAATATCGCGGTAGTAATAAATTGTGTTGAAACCTCAGTTTTCTATAGGTTCTGCTGTGTTTGGTGTAAAAACAGATTATGCGATTTTTCCGAAATACAAGATTTTTAGGAAATTATTTGGCAAAAATTTGAAAAATCAGCTGAAAAAAAGAAAAAAAGTGCGTAAGTTGGCAAAAGTTTGTTCTATCTGCTGGTTATTAGGGCTCCTCCGAAAGTCTCACACAAAAATTTTGAAAATTAACGGAAGTCGGACATGGTAAAAACGAGTGGTTATAATTCACAGCAAACATCTCGTCACTTTCGCAACGAAACACAATGGGATTAGCAGCTGGAAAGAGGAAGAAATTCTGCATTAAATGCATTTTAGAGCGATTGTTTATCTTCATTCTAGCGCGTTTGCCGATGAATTGAAAAAACTGACAAAACTTTCGGACCCACCTAAGGTAGAGCCATTGACAAATGCCAAAAACTTCGCTGTTACTACTGCAATTTGTTTACCCTTAATTCAATGATTATCAAAACTCTTCCAAAAGCTAGAAAAGAAAGTTTTGAAAATACTAAATTTAGGGTAGGTTGGGTTGTAGATTCTGACAATTATTCAAGCCATCATTGAAAGTCTTGGAAGAAAACATTCTTGGAAGAGGAAAATTTTCTGCATCGAACGCTGTTCAAAGCATTTCCTAAGATTACTTTGTACATCGGAGGATAGGCCTTAAAAACGGGCACGAATTTTTGACCATAAAATGTAAACATAAACAGGCAACTTTGCAGTAACAACAGCTGCGCATTATCTCTTTTTCTCAACAATAGTGCAGAGACTTTCATATGGGGGTATTCTGAAATCACAGAAGAAGAAAGCACCTTTTTTGAAGCTTACAGATAAAGTCGGTAAATTCAGGTGAACTTGAATTTATGCATTTGTATGTATCATGCATGGCGAAATACTGAAAAAGTCTTATTTTCCATGGATGTAGCTTAACAAGAAATAATTCGCATCAGTTTGTATGGTATGGAAAGACTATGATCAAATAACAATAGTATCACAAAATTCCATATTTCCAAAGTGTCTCGACGTCACACTAAGGCACAATGTAGGCTCAAGGGTCCGATCCTCCGATCTGGCAAGCTTAGCTGACGAGTCCCATCAGTCTTGATTTCGACTTTGCTGTCCGCAGCATGCTTCTACCTTTCGTGCCTTGTGCCGAATGCCAAGCCCGCAGCTCATGGTGTGAAAAAAATTTATGGATTGATATTGAAAGACAACGAAAAGTCTCCGAGATCCGCTCCTTTCCAAAGTGTAGGTGTGCAGAATTAGCCCGGACCTTCAGACGGAATATTTGTTCAAAACGTGGTTCATACACACATGCATCACAACAGACCGGCATTCAGTTCTTTATATGAGAGGTAAAGGCTATTGCATGGCGAAAGCGCAGAAGCAGTGTCACTTGAGCGGGCGCGAACGCAGCGCGCGCGTATCATCATAGTTGTAAATCCTGCGCTTATGCGCTCTGCGGCTAAAAAGCCGCGTTCGCGCGCTATTGTTAAGGTACTCAAACATTTGAACAGAGAAAGTTGTAGGTTGACTTAATACTAAGTGCTTCTCATGAGCGTGAAAAATTCTATCGTTTGTTTTCAGCGGATACGGACACTAGGGGCACAATGTACCGCAATTTCAGAACGCATAAGTGTGCTTTTTTTTTCAAAATAAAAGCAATTACAATAGTTAGCGTTCAAGTTTTAGTGAAAAGGGAACGTCGTACAAACTTTACTCAAGGCTTTAAAGTTTGTGCTTGGTGTGCAAAGTTGTTATATTATACACAATTGTTGATGTTCTTGCACATTTGACGTGCAGAGAAATAGTAGCCTGTAAGGGGGGGGGGGGCTAGTGGTATATCCCGGTGCAAACCTGATCGACGGGGAAAACGGGTTTGAATACCGGATAATTTATCTTGATAGCACAAAGTAAAACAACAATTCCTAATACGATACGTATATTTACAAGAGCTGGGCTATAACCCGATTTCGCCCTCTCAACGAGGTTCTCTGGGCTATCACTACCAACCCGGCGGCAGGGAGGGGGGGGAGAGGAGGGAAGGAGGTTCGCCCCCCCCCTCGACGACTCGTTTGAACTTCACGTTCTTTCCGCGCTCTGACTTGTCTATCCTGTCTAATAGTATATCCTGCTATATATCCTGCTAAAAAGTCAAACCAGGACCTCTTTTTCCGCCACCAAAAACTGGTGGCTCGATGAGTCCCCCGTTTAACAAAGCTAATTTACCCCTTTCTGCTTCGCAAACTGCTAAAAAACTCTAGTATTTTTTTCAGCGGATACGGAAATCGTGGGCCAAATGTACCGAGACCTCAAAGCCCGTAAGTGTTGCATTCCATTCAAAGCTTATTCAGCATCGGTTAGCAGAAGTTTCTTTGAGGTTTTTTATAGTAGGGGGAGTTTGATGCAAGAGCATTTCGTTTAACAGTCTGGAGTTTCTCAGTTAGAATTTGGGTTGTCTTAAAAGCGAATTCCTTTTCTAAGTAGCCCAGAGCTGTTTTTGAGTCCCTAGCAGAGTTGCGATATTGTCAGGTAAAGTGAAGCAAGCTCTACTAAATGACCGCCTAAGTCGTAATCGGGTAAAGTTTGGAACTAAAATGAAAATTTACCCGATTATAAATATAATTTTCTTTTAGAAAGTTTTTAGAAATCATCATCAACTTGTTCAATCTACAAAAGACACATAGTAGTTCCCAAAAATGTAATTGGCGGATTTTTCGGGGCTCAAGAGAAATTACTAGAGCTCTAAAAAGTAAAAATGCCTTTTTTTCTGGCTTCTCATGTTAACCTTAGTATTTCTTAATTACCAGAGCGCATACACAGGTGAAATCATTAGGGTGAAAGGTAAAAACGGGACGCTTACAGAATGATTGCAGATTTCTCAATAAAGAGAGCTACTGTCTGCGCCCCAGAAAAATTTCCATGTAAACCAGCGTGCGTACGTGGTGCGACGCTGCCTTTCGCTCTTTTTGACATGTTTCTCCTAAGATTTCAAGGGAACTGCCCGAGGTTGACACGTTCAAAAGTGCGAAAGGCACAGGGCCCGGCACGAGGTCGGCAAATGACAAGCTGGAAATCGTTTTGGGGCCAAAAAGCAAAGGGGAAATCGTTTTTGCCGGGACCGGGGCGCAGCCCCGGAAAAAAATTGGCAGTTCATGCTCGCTACTTATCTTGACATGTTATGTGCCTCAACAGGCGAACACTGGAGTTCGCGCGCGTCAAACCGCGCAGTCGCTAATTGCCGCACGCGCGACGTCGCCCAATCGATGCTATTTGTAACAGCATGCATGACTAGTTCTCAATGTATGTGTAACGATATGACACCAAATTTTGTATGCGAACGAAGAGAGGCTAGTGGAAACATAGTATGAAAAATTATGTAAAACTTATGTGAACGGAAGGAGTAATTAGCATTTTTTCCGAGAATTTCGCAAAACTGGTAAATGAAGATGTGAATTCAAACGGCTCGTTTAAACGCGCAGATGAACGATATGGTATGAAACTTGGTAAGTAAATGCACACGGGCTTGCAGGGCTTAACTGAGGAGTTTCATTGAAAAATTATGTGACTGAAGGTTGTGGCAAACTTTTATCTGAAAATTTTGCGCTACCAAAGAAATGGAAAAATGGCTCGTTTGCAACGCAGAGGTAACGAAATCGCGCGGGATTCGGTGTGTATATGCGCAATAGGACTAAGTAATAAAGTATGAAATATTATGAAAAACTTATGTGAATGAAGAGTTTCCTTAACTAATTTCCAAATTAGGTCGGCATTTGCCGACCTAATTCCCACCTGAGGTCGGCAAAACTCTCAATTCGCATAATTTTTTCAAAATTTTTACATAAATCTGTTGTAAACCTAAAGTTTACTACATGGTGAAATTTTGGTTCCGAAGCTCCTCCTCTTGTCCTTGTTAGAGCCCAAAATCGCATCAGCAGCCTAGCTTTCTAAGATGGAAAGCGCGCCCCAGTCAATCGATACGCGCGGGAACGGCGTCTCTCATTCCTATGACTGCTTTCTTTGATATTTTCTCATTCCTTAATCATTTTTCTTGCTTATTTTTCTTCCTGTTTCCTATCTTGACACAGCTGAGGAGTAATTTGAGGAATTTGAGCAATTTGGGCGCCTTTGAGCGCTTTTGGGCGAAATGTGGCCGGTAATCTCGTCGCACAAGCACAAAACGTCATTTTTGGGCTCAAGGGGGTATTCGTATAATTTATTGGGATCAAAGGGGAATTCGTTTTGGAAAACCCCGTTTTCCCACCTCGTGCCGGGCCCTGGAAAGGCAGCGAGATGACGTGGTACCTATGGGAACCTCTCTGGGGCGCAGACGATAAATAAATGCTCCAATTCTGATAGATTTAGAATCATTATTCTTGTTTAGCCAATATCTATATAAAGTCTTTTTCACGCTTGATGATTTTTATGATTGCTGAAATGCGAAGTCACTAACGTCTACAAGTATGAAGTCTAAGCAGTATCTGCGCAATAACAATGAAATTACTTAAAGTACCACTCTTGGAATGGGTAAGGGGACACTCAACAAACTAAAGATGGCTCGGCGGTTCAAAATTTAAAGTTAGCTATAGTCATCAGCCATTTCGCCACCTGACATACTTGTTATTTTTTTTTCAAGTAAATACACATTATGTGCATATTATCACCTAGAGCTGTCTACGCTGTATCCATTGATGTGCAGCTTACCATATTTTTCATTCGCTTTCGAAAAATATAGGCTAAAACATAATTTTATGGTCATTCTTTGCGATTTTTAGAGTTTTTTGCCTTTTTTACTTACAAAGAGAACTTCCATAATCTCGATAGTGACGGTGACATAATATTCGAAAGAGCTGAAAAGCTCTTCCGTATAGTATGTCACTTGCATCATGCAACTTTAGGGTACAATAGCGAGAGACCGCGAAACGTTCAAAAATAAAAAAAAACCCTGTCAGAGTCCTCCGAAGCGCCAGGGATGTGGGAGAGAAGGGATAGCGGGAAAATGGGCGAAGTTCGCTTATGTGAGCGATGTTTGATGGCAGCATGCTTGTTGCTGATCTATGGCCGTATTCATCAACGAATCCTGGAGGTTAAGCTAACCCTGGAGGGTAAAACTTACGTAATTCATCAGGGTTAATGTAACCCTAGCTTAGAGCAGGGTTAATTCTACCCTAATACTTCATACAAACATTTACTCGCGTCTAATAATTTTATGGAAAACGATCAACGAGTATTGTGGTATTTATTAGGTGGGCACGAAAGTTCTGTCGTTTCATTTTCGAAAATTTGTAACTCAACGTATTTGCTTGCCTGTAACTTTGTAAGAAAGCACTGGTCTTTCGCTTTCAGACGCTGTTTTGCGGAGCTTCTGTTTCACATTGCGTGCGGAGATAAAAGTGGAAAACTAAGACCATATAAGCTTTGACCATTTTAAGTTAGGTCGCCAAAAATCGGGAACACTGCAGAAAAATCAAATCGTCAGTACATATGTTTTTTGGCCTACCCTTTGCAACTGTGAAAATTTTGTGCCGTTTGGTCGTCTCTGTGGAAAGTTAGGAATATTGAGTTTACTATGTAGAACGCCAAAATTAATTAATTTGTCCATTTTTGCGAAAATCATAACTTCGCACAGAGACGTCCAAACAGCACAAACTTTCACAGTTTGCAAAGAGTAGGCCAAAGAACACATGTATGACGATTTCAGATTTTTCTGCAGCGTTCCCGATTTTTGGCGACCTAACTTAAAATGGTCAAAGCTTACACAGTGTTGCCAATAGCTATAAAGCCACCCTAAAAATCATAATTTGCTCTTTCTTGTTCGAAATTGTCTAAAAAGCCACTATTCTGTGTGCAAACTAACATCATATCATTGACCAGGGCGGCTCCCAATTCCTCTGGTTTTGGTCGGAAAAAAATTGAAAAATTCGAAAAAAGGGGTTCACAAGGCTGGTCACAGCTATAAAGCCACCTCTCATTTCCAATCAGTACTATGTTTTTTGAACGTGAAATTTTTTGTGCATATACAACATTAAAACATAAAACATTTGTCACACTTGGAATCAGTCACCTTTTTGAAAAGAAGATTCATCCTCATTTTTTGCTTCAAAATATATAAAAAGTTATGATGTTCGGAAAACTGCCTTTTCACCGAATTCTCAAGCATTTGTTTGACTCGGATGAAGGTCCTAGGTTTCTCGGAGCCTTTGCAGTGAGTATGGCGAAAAGTGCTGGAATCAACATTGTGTAATCACTGATCTTAATAAACGAGCCTCAATCTTACCGAGGTGTAAGCACGCTTCTGAGACGCAAAACCCTCGATTTCTGACGTGCGAAAATTTTAGGTTGGAAGTTGACATCTTGTTTGCATGGTGACGTACTCATGCAGAAGCTGTCAGGCTTTTTACAAAGACGTACTTGCACTGAACTCACAACGTTTTGTCTGCAGTTCGGTTGTGCGCAGTGTATCTCACATGACTTCAATGAACTCCTCTTCAAGTCAAATCTTACAAAACTGTCAGGAATACTAAAGTTTTGAAGTTTTGAGCGGTTTTCGCTCGACCGAGAGGTCAGAGGGTTTCATGATCAGGCAGAGTGCACCACTGATTTTTGAAAAAAAGGCGTCCAATGCGGAACCAAAATCCTGAGAGTTGCGATGACGAGCTATGCCAAGAATCTATAGTTGTACAGGCAACGTGCTGAGCGCGTGACAGAGCTTTTTGGGCATTAGAACTTAATTTCTGCGGTTCGAAAACTCGGTTTCGAAAATTGGGAGTCGTCTTGGTCAATGATATGAAGTTAGTTTGCACACAGAATAGTGGTTTTTCAGACAGTTTCGAGCAAAAGAGAACAAATTACAGTGATTTTTAGTTTGGCTTTATAGTTATGGCTAGCACTCTATGGACAGGGGTTAGGCAGAGAAGAGGTTAGGCAGAGAAGAATCTGAAAGAGAAGACTTGCTTTTTCTAGTAAAAATACAGCAAAGCAAATCCTTGAGGCAGCGCAAAGTTATGATGCAAAAATGAAACGACAGAACTTTCGTGCCCACCTAATAGTATTAGTTGTTGTTATAGTATTTAGTTTCGACTTCGCTTTATGTTCAGATTCGAAGTAGATGAAACACTGACTTCGCGAGAAAAAGAAATTCTAGCTTTGGTGACAAATGAATGCGACGAGGGAAAATGGTTGCGCATTCCACTCCAACAAGTGCCAAACCAGAAGAACCCCTTTATGATAGCACGCATTGATTCCTAAAAGAGTAACGCAAGCCCGGTATAACACAAACTGCGCAGAAGTAGAACTTACACAACACAACTGCACACATGAAAATAAACTCACGCTGCAAGGTTGGATGCTGCACAAATATGCTAGAGATGTTTTATAAAAACTAGTGTTAGAAGCTTATTCGTTAATTATACTACTATAACAGTGAAAGAATAGAAGTATAAAGTAAATTTAGCGCGTACTTAGGCATTCTGTGATTTGAGTTTGCACAGCGCACGCGTAACTGACGCCTTAACCCTCCAGGGTTAGTTTAACCTTCAGGGTTTGATGAATACGGCCACAGTTTGATCGATACAGGTGGATCGCGTTCCGTGGTAAACCCTACCCTGAGGTTGATGAATACGGCCAATGAACCCTGAGTGTTGAACCAACCCTGGAGGGCAAGTTTAACCCTCAGGGTTCGTTGATGAATACGGCCACAGAACAAAAAGTCTTAAGATTTGATAATAATGCAATCTATTTTTCACCGTTTAGCCTGATACGGTCGTACTTACGGGCGGGTCTATACTGCTCCGTAAGTTCTGAAACAGTTCCAGCACAGCTCTCGAAATAGCGCTGTGCTGGAACTGTTTCCGAACATGCGGATCAGTATAAACCCAGGCTACTAGGGCTTTTGTACACAGTAAGATATATAGAAGAGGCTGGGGGCGGAGTTTGTCATTTTTAGATCACCTTTCTTTCTCGCTTTCTATGCGCGGAAAACTTTAGTGAAAGCATATTCGATCTACCATATGTCTCCTGTATAATGACCAAGGAGTCCGTAGAATTTTTTTTTCGCAAAAATCCAATTTGCAGTATTGAAATCTCTTTCGATTTTGGCTGCAAACTAACCTAAATTATGACTTAAACTGATCTTTGGCGGCATTTTGTGAAGCTTGCTTCTCTCCATTAAAAAATAACCTAAAATGGGAATGGTCAGAATTCGAAATGGCCAATCCAAACGATCTGCATACCATTAGCCGCAGAATAAAATGCTAACTTCGAATTGGTATTCCATATCTGCTGAAGAATTATGAACTGTTGAAAGCTGTAATTTTGCTAAGAAATCGTGCTTGAAAGCGGAAATTTGGCAGTACAAATCTATGTTCGGCTTGATGTTGAGTCAAAACAGGCAGCTAGTTTACTTTATATTCTTGAAACCTAAAGTTGAGCTGAAACCGCAACAATGTGCTCAATTTCGCAATTTTTATGTACGATTTTTCCTCAATAAAACTACTCATAACTTCATTCACAAAGGCAAGATAAGATAAGCAATACGGAATAGATTTAGAAACAGCGTTGAATGCTGCATTAAATGGTATTCGGCTTGCTTGGATTGGCCACTTCGACTTCTGACCATTTCCTTGTAAACCTGTCACGAAAACAAAAACAGCTTGAGTTATTTGATGAAGAAGTTTATTTTGATACTACCTCATAGTTGCTTACACAATTGTGAATATACTCAAATATTTCACCTGCAGAAAAAATAGTCAAGTGATTTTGTAAATGATATTGTGCCAAACAGGTTTTTATGGTGGATGTTTATTGCCTAACGTTTCGCCAGGTATCGTCTTCGTCGGAGGCCTGAAAAAAGATTGCAGTTTTGTACTTGTCAGTCTACACGACCAAACGCCTCTTCTAACTCGCGGCGTTCAGACCTTGTCTCAGTACAACGTACTGAGAAACACTCCGAAGTGGTAGACAACAACCTTCAATCCACCATGAAGTCAGTAGTCCGCACGACTGCGACGGACATCACTGAGGGGTGCTCAGTGAGTCAGGGACATTTTAGTCCGCGGTTAGAGTTGACATAATGATATAATGATATATAAGGCAAGAGGTCAGTTGTCATCGCCAAGCATTCATTCTTGTTATTCATTCCCGGATTTCCGGTAGATATCCACGCTTACATTGAAATCGTCACCATTATGTGCCTCTACTCTATGTTTTCCCAACGAAGATGGCATTGTCCCTCGTCTTTTATTAGCCAAATGTTCCTTCATTCTAACGCTTAATGCTTCCGGTCTCACCTACATATGTTGTTCTACAGCTCAGGCACTCTAACTGGTAAACGATACCCTCCTTTGCACAATCACCTAACCTTCCGTGTAGGTAGACGATGCAGTTTTCTGATATGCATTCAGTATCATACATTCTGTTTCTGATCAGCCGCTTTTTGAAACTTTCGCTAGGAAGGCTGAACAGCATCGTCATTCTCCAACTTCGCTCGTTTTATGCGTCGTTTAATCGCCTCATCAAAACTGACGGACACAAAGGGAATGCAAAGAGGAATTCTATTGTCGTTGCTACGCATGTTTTCGCTTACGTGCATAGCTGATCTTTCCTTTGATCGTTTACTTCCGTATCCATTACTGCGAGCAATTTCAGACGCCAGTTGTTGCGACTCTAGCCGTTCGTTTTCGCCCGTACAGAACTCTGCAGCAGTTTTGTACATATTGTTGATGACGAGCTTTAGAGCTCTAGGATGGGCTGACGTGGCGTGGACCAGGATGTTTTTAGAGCTTTTCTTTCGGAACCATTTGATTCGTACAATACCGTCAGATAGATTTACTTGAGTTTTCAAAAAGGAAAGCCAGCCACTGTTCGGGGTTTCCCGTGTAAGCCTTATGTACTGCGACTGCTGATTTAAAATTCTAAAACACTCATCCATTTCGGATTGTGTTGAGGTGACGATGCAGCAGTCGTTGATATAGCGGCAGTACATCGATGACAAACGTGCTAGTATTGGCTCCTCAGTTTTACTCATAAAACAAATTGCCAGGTCCGGCGCGAGCCTTTGACCCATCGCAAGTCCTCGAATCTGGGAATAGTAATTCCCAGACCACCTAAAGATGTTACAATTTAAACATTCTCTAATGAGGGTCAATATGCACGTTATGCTTAGCCCAAAGCTGACCATGATAGAATAGTATTTGTCTAACATGGTGTCTAACAGTTAAGTGATTCACCTTTATGTCCACACCTGAAAATAATCTTTTTTTTCAGTTATGGACCCTCGGGACAATATACAGTACCTCTGCCTCAGAACCCGTAAGTGTCGCATTCCATTTATAAACTCTTTTAGCATTTTGCAAGAGGCCACTCAGTGCTTCAGAGTCTGCACTTAGTGTACAAAATAGCACTGTCTCTCGGTGCCGCTCTTGCGTTAATACTTACCTCACTTGTGCCATTTCGAAAAACTTGATCCTTCGAGTTTTCTTTTAAAAACGAATATTTGGCGTTTATGAATAGGCCGATCATTTTATTGCTTTTTGGCACATAGATGAATGCCTCGCTAGTCGAAAACGCAGCAAAACCTGATTGATATTCAAAGCGTCAAGCTTATGTTTCGTTCGAATGTGCTGTTTGGTGAACTTCAAGCACTTAGTTGGACTGCACTTCGCCGAGAGTAAAGTCCCTGCGCGGGCATTCGCAGGCAGTACGCACCTCGGGGTTGAACCACACTGCGCGTTATACGCAGCGTACGCGACCCACGCAACATTCCCTCCATATCTTTATGCACGTGTGCGTACGCTGCTTACGTCGCGTTATGCCGCGCATTCTGGCCTAACCCTCTTGCATGTGTGAAAGGCGCTCATTTATTGCAGATGTTCGCGCGGGACTTCGCTTTCGTAAAGTGTAGTCGCCCTCACTCAAGCCAAATTGTTTGGAAAATTGTGTTTTTGCGTTCGGAAGGAAGGAGCTCTTGTTGAAGTGTTGAAATCAGCAACTCTGGACGCATTGCTTGCGTTTTCTTGCGTTTAAAAGTATGAAAATAAGATTGCGTTTTTGTACTCTTTTTTCGTATAAAGCTGCTAAACCTTGGATCTTAAGGATTCGACCTTTTTTAACTTGGCTTTTCAGGTTTCGGATATTGACGTGACTGAAGAGCCCGTTGTTGAAGCGGATACATATCATCGGCTTCCAAATGCGTGTGGAGGTGGAGTCTTGCCAACTCACCGCGTGGCGGTTCTTGCTAGCGAGAGAGTACGAAAAGCAATGCTATGACGTGGAGGTTTAACAAGTTTACCTGTGTTATCAGGCAAAGTCTGCAATACACCTCCACACGAACCTGGAAACCGATCACACACTTACGAGGAAAGGGGTAGAGGACTATATGTCGCCGAAAAAGGGCGGTCCCCGGGGTCATTTGCGACAAATACGCACCCTTGTACATGCGCGGACAAGCGTTCCTGCAGGGAATCCGCGCGGGACTCTTCCAAATTCGGCGACATATAGTCCTCCACCCCGAGGAAAGTACTTTCAATGGCCGTGGCCTTTTGATATGAGATGCATATCATCTGAACCAGCTTCGAACGCTGATTCTAAATGTGCTTTCCTTTTCTGCGGAGCTCTGTTCTGAAGAGAGTTGTGGAAGGCTGAAAATTCTATTTTGTGAGCGAACCTCAAAGGCAGTGTCCATGCAAAAAGTCGATTTTGAAATTTTGTGACCCGGACCTGTTCGCTATGCTGAATCCGATAGACCACAATGGACAGCGCGAAAACGCCAAAAACTGCCCTAACGCAGGAGGGAAATCACAGGTGGTCACGGCCGTTCACACCGTGACGTCACTCTCCCAGGCTTCAGGAGCCATATTCTCGGTTTCGATATTATGTCATGCGTTTCGAGGTTGACTGGTGGTGATGCTGGGACGAATAGCGAAAGCGAGAAGATCGCTCTTGAAGCTGGGAGAGTGACACCACTATGTGAACAGCCCCGCTCACCTGCAATTCCCCTCCTCCTTTGGGGCCTTTTTTCGCAGTTTTTGCGCTCTCCAATGTTGATTTTCGTATTCAGCATGGCGAATAGGCCCAGGTAAGCACAAAATCTCGAAATCGACTTTTTGCTTGGACACTGCCTTTAAGTTAAAAAGCGCTGCTATATGCGTTGGTAGTGCAGTGGTGTAATGGTTAGTTGTTGGCATTGAAAGCGAAGGCGGATGGTTCGAATCTAGTGCAGAGCATGCCATTTTGCACTACGAATGTGAGTTTTAAAACCACTCTAATTTGTCTGCAGACACTTACTGCAATGCCCTTGATAAATGTAACTTAAAAATAAAATTTCTGGTAGATATCGCTAACTTGTTGGATCGCTAGCTTGAATCGCTAGCTCCGCAAAAAAATTCATGTACAGAGGTGAAGCGAAATTACAAAGTTAGCAAAACACAGACCTTTCTCATAACGGAACAGCTTATGAAGAAAAACTCCGCGCAATTCTCATGCTTGCAAGTACCCATTAAATTACTAGGGGAGCGATATTGGAGTGGCGTTTCAAATAAATTAAAAACCTTTGCATAAACTCAATCAAACCGGATTCGAACCATCGACCTTTCGCCTTTAATGCCAACAACTAACCATTACACCACTGCGCCACTAACGCACGTAGCAGCTTCCTCAAACTGAAGGAGCGCCTCAAAACAGGATATTCAGGCTTCCATAACTCTCTTCAGAAGAGTGCTCCGCAAAAAAGGAAAGGAGATTTGAAATCAGCGTTCGAAGCTGCTTCAGATGGTATGCATCTCATATCAAAAGGCTATGGCCCTTGAAAGTACTTCCCTTGTTAGATAATTTGTTTTACGAAGGCACTGAAGTATGCAAACAGTGTTTTCCACGAAAGTAAGAAAAGCGAGTCAGTTAAAGGGTGTGAGAACGAAAAATGTTTTGATAGCAGTTAGCGAAACTTGTAATACAATGCACTAAGTTGAACCGAGCTTTCTGCGTTGTGTTGGTCTGACCTGCAAGTTTTTGAAGAAAAAAAGTCAGCCTTTTTGGACGAAATACTAAAACAAGATGAGTGGGTCTTCGATTGCGTCTCGAAAATTATCGCACAAGATAAACTTTGCTGACTTGCCGAACTACTTATACGCGTCCATTAGGGTACGTATATTAGAAGTATGAAGTGCCATCATGACAAGTGCAAACAAGGATGATCCGCGGACCACTGCCAACCAAGCGCTCTACTTTCTTGTGGCGTTGAACTAATGTTAGAGTAATCTAGAAAGGTCATCTGAGCTGGATCGGAGTCCGGCAAATCCTTGTTAAAGTTAACACACATACGGTAATGCTTCGTTTTCAAAGAGGATTGCATTTGGTGCACAAATTGCTGTTCTCTCTTCACTACTGAGGATTGCGGTAGGAACTTGCGACATATGGGGCATTGTGAGAAAAAACGCCCAAAAAAATCTCTAAAAATCTGGGAAATTGTGTCTTAGGGTTGTCACACAAGCTAATTTCACTACATGACTTTTTGCGCATTCATAGGGCTTCATGGTGTAATTTTATTGACGAATAACAAAAATCGGCTGTTACGGTGGATGTGGCATAACTTATGATAAAGCGTTATGGTGAAGTGTAGGTTCCATTTTTGAAATCAAACAGGAGTTTTCAGCTTTTTGGTTTTGTTTTAGGGTTAAAGGCAGTGGCTCGGCAAGTCTCGATCTTTGGTTTTTCCGCTTACCTGGGTAATCAAGCGCTGACTCCGAAAATCCACTTTTTAGAGCGCGAAAATAGCGAAAATCAGCGTTTTCCTAGCCTCCTCATTATGAATTTGGACGAGTGGAACGCCCCTCGCCATGATTAAAGACGCAGAATCATTGTGGGATCTTATTTTTAAAGCATTGCGGCATGCCGCCTTCGACGGCGTGAGAGATATCGCGAGCTCGTCCGGGCGCGTGTAAGAATGGCTTGCGCGCACGAGTTTGGGGGCGCATGCTGTACGCTCGGACCTGCTCCATTCTCGTGTTGGGGGGGGGGGGGGGGGAAGCAACTTTCCATATAAAAATTTCGATTCGATTTTGCCGAGCCACTGCCTTTAAGGACCCTCAATGATGCAAAGCCCTCTTCAACTTTCCTACTGTAATCCTAAGTAGTTTAGAAACAACGGTTATTCGCTCCGTATTGTAAGTCTAAGGTGAAGCTAGCTCTAGGATTGTACCAAGAGCTTATCGAATCCTCAATGACGAGAAAATTTTTGACAATTAAACAATAGGCACATTTTTTGGTATACCCTATGCAATGCAGACGAATTGAGAGCACTAACCATTGATTCAAGCTTGACTTTGGGAAGGCGGGGTGATTTGATTAAGGCCGCTCGCTCCCCCGCCGCACCCGTGTCTCTCTCGCGCAAATGCTCTCTGATCGCTGCTTAGCCTTAATCAGATCCCGAAGCCCCGCCTTTCCAAAGCTATTTCAGTCGAATCAAATGGTACTTAGTGAAATATATTTAGTGAGATGTTTACAGTAAAGTTTAGTGTTTTTCCAGGTATGTTCAACAGTCTTGGTATGACGCAACCGGACACTACTGATCATTACACGTTTAATGAACTTTGATGTCCTTGAATGATATGTGGCACTACGAATTACGCGATTTCCAATAAATGTATTCGACGTTCTTTGAAGACTAGCAAAGTTCAAAAACCAATCGTATCAAGCTATTAAGGCATAAAGATAATTTTTCATCAAAACAAACGGCGATTTTTGAGAGTAGTTAGCCTGCCAGTATTGACACTTTTTGACTTATTTTTCCATAAATAAATGGCTACGAAAATGACAAAACGAATAGTTTAGAAATGTTTAAGCTAATCATTGATGGCAGGCTGGCTCTGTTTCTCCAGTGTGTATCACAATGAAGTTTTCAAAATGTATTTTACTATTAGGGTGATCGCTAAAAAATGGGGCAGCTTGATTTTTATTACATTTTGAGGTTTTCTGTTCTCATCGACAACTAGCAGGCCGCAACTCAAACGTCGCTCACATAGCCGACCTTCGCCTATTATTCTGGCAACGCGTTACCGCCCCTCTCTCATGACCGTGCATGCGGCGCCGTGAAGAGCTCAGACAGGGTTTCTGAAACAATTCTCAATCTTGCGCTGCTATACCGTAAAGTCATAAACCAAGGACGTACCATTCGAAAGAGCTGTTTATGCTCTTTCAAACATATTAAATGCATGAGATTTCTTATTAATCTCAGAAAAAAAGCGAAAAAATCTGAAATATAGCCATTTTCTGGCGCAATAAAAAACCAAAAAACATGTTTTGCCTTATATTTTCCCAAGATAGATAAAATCTGAGATGATCTGTACATGTTTGGATAGAGTGTAAAAGGCTCTATCAGATGGTGCCTACAAAACATGCGTTCACCTGCAATGATTTGAATAACGCGTGTCTTTTTCCTCAAGGCTGCTAATGGCCGTATCTCCCGACTTTGAAAGTTGAGGCCATCAAGCCGTCGTGGGTTTGGTGGCAGTCCCCCACCACCCCCTCCAGCAGTGGTACTTTGGGTGGTCTCACGTGTTTCACTGCGCAGATACTGTTCAAACTTCACAATTTATCGAAGTGACTGACTTTGCATTTTAGCAAGAATATCAATTATGCAAATGACCTTATATAGGTATTGTTTGAAAGAGAATAACATGTTCTAAAACTATCAAAATTGGAAAGTCTAATTACTTCTCTTTCTTGAGAAACTTCCAGTTATTTCGTAAGTGCCCCATTTTTTAGTGATCACCCTAATATATGGCATGGTCAGTATAAATGCTTTCCTGACGAAATTGTGGCAACGGAAAAGGGTTGGTGTGAGATTAACTTTTGGAGCAGATGCAAAACTCAACAAAAAAGCGACAAGCGATTAGACACGAAAGCGGCGCGACAATAAAATTTAGCCCATAATTGGCAGACTTGTAGCCTGTTCGATATAAAAGCGAATAGGACTTTCTCGATATATGCTGCCCAACGATTGTAGAAAACAAATCAAATAGCATATAGCTTCACTAACTATCTATCTAATTTCCTTATTTGTCCTGCTAAGTCAAAAAGTCAACATGCCAGGTTCTCGAATTCACTCAATCTCCTCATTGGTAAGAAAAACCGCACTAATTACAAGTAGATGCAAGACTTAATGTAAATCTGCAGCTAATTAAATCCCTTGGATATTTGGTTGAACAGTGCACTTTTTTGGTGGAACAAGTACGTAACAAAGTGCAGGGTACTCAAAAGTTCACCTCCTCGGTACCTTTTGCTCGTTAGACTCAGAAATCAACAATGAGCAAACTCATTTTGGTCGTCTGTTTGTAACACAATTAATGCAGCTTTTCACAATTCTTTCTAAGATGCTGCTTTTAAAGGGAAGTGTATTCTTCTTAGAGACCTTAGATCATCTGAAATCTCTTCCCTTCCAGTTCGTTATTTCCTTTTACAATGTACACCTGCTTTCAAAAATTTTTGAAATAAGATTTTCAAATTGGCTTATATACACATAACTCATTTTAGAAAGAGCATTAAGAATCTGTGAAGCAAAATTAGACGTGCTGACGAAGGAAAAGTACAATGCCAGATCAAAGAAATTAACGTTTAGTACAACTTGCACATTCCTACATGCAATACTGGAATTGTTAACTCAGCTTTATTGCAAACGATCTCAGAAGTTGCGGCCATCTTCAAAGAAATATGATGCGATAACAATCAATAGTTCTAATAGAAAGCCGAAGGAGCCTCATCAAGTTTAGAATTGGCCATGCTTCATTTGCTAATCTGAAACTGAGGCTGCATCAGATCAAGAGTACGAAAATGAGAAGCATGTGGAGTATTTAGAAAAAACGGGAAAATTACCTTCGCATTGATTTACACTACTAGTGTCATCAAACTGATGTGTGAAGGGAGAGTATAAAAACTCTTAAAAAATCTTCAAAGCGAGTTGTGCCTATTGTTTGATTGTTGTCATTTTTCCTGTCATGTCCTTTTGGAAAGCTCTAGGTACCATTTCTTGAAGCTGGCTTCAACTTACAAGGGAAGGATACCAACATTAGTCGGCGATTGAAGATGAGATGTAGATCAATAGACGCGCTTTTGAACGATAGATCCAAATCTGCTTCCTTTTTGCGGAATAAGTTTCCGAAAGAAGTTGTGGGCGCTCAAATGTCCAAGTTTGTCAAGGTTTAGGTGGCCTAAAATTAGCGAAAAGATGTACAAAAACACTGGAAAACGGGAAATCATTTTTGTATCGAGTATATTGTTTGCAAGGAAAAAACAATGCCGGTGAAAATCGCATAGGTGTTGTTTTAAAGCTTTTCGCTGATTTTAAGCCACCCAATGCTCGGCAAATCTGAACATTCAAACGCTCATAACTTCTTTCGAAAACTTATTCCACAAAAAAGGAAAGCAGATTTGGAATTAGCGTTAAACGGCGCATCTAATAATATACATCTCATACTCAACTGCCAACTAATTTTGGTATCCTTCCCTTTTTAGATTTGCGGTATCATGCTAATTAAGAGTCACTTCTTATTACTTTAAAATTACGGTAGAAACTTTAGGGAGGGCTCTAAGTTATTAAGGGTCGTATTTAACTCCTAAAAAACAGAGAAGCAAAAAACTGTTACACTAGGCTGATCAAAGTCTCCTATTCCAAACATGAAACTCGCACTTCACCGTAACGCTTTTTTCCTAGGTTGTGCCAGATATACCACAGCAACGACTTTTCTGCTATTCGTCCAAAACTCAATTAGGAAATTTGAAAAGTTCCGCGAGCGCGCAAGAATGTGTTTGCTAAAATTAGCATGCGTGAAAATCTTGTTACACAAATTCTCAGATTTTTTTTCTCAGAGATTTACCAAGAGTTTACAATGTGACTCTTAAACAAGACTTTTTGTTGGATGGGCAGGAGGTACTGCACTAAAAATTGCTAGGCGAGAACAAGACGTTGCCTACATCGTATGCAAACCGGCCGCACCGTCTAAACGGAATTATTACTGCAAAAGCCCAATAAACAGATCCAAGGAGTTTTCCTGCGCGAGAAAACTTAGACCCTATAGCAACCGTCGTCATAGCTGTTTTTGCAAGACTTGGCTGGGAGATACATTAGTATCCTGTGTACTCTTGAGATCACGCCCTAGCACAATATATTCTGCTGGGGTAGGAGTACGAAAGCCGCTAGTTTTTGCCGCTTTCGCAGACTACTGGTCCTGCAACCACATGCAACAACACTGCAAAAGGACCAGTTGACCGCAAAACGCGGCTCAAACTGGCGGCCTTTGTTCTCCTACCCATTCTGCTGCAGTCTATCACAATCATATAAGCGGTGTCTGTTTTGCTCTGAAGACGATCCCAGGAGCTGGTTAACGACTTTTTGGGATCAGACTTGCTGAGCTGTGGAAAAACGGAAGTGAAAATCTGACTGCCTGGTGGCAGAAGGTTGTGCACAACAACGGAGCGCGCATTGTTGACTAGATTTGGCTAAATTTTTGTCATTTTGCTGATTTACAGAAACTCTACGATCTTATGAAGCGACCTAATACATGCATTAGGTTCAGAGAAATAGAAGATCTCGTCTGAAAATGTCCGAGAACTTTCGAGCCAACCTAATAGTTAATGTGAATGTCGAAAATGTTTGATGATAATCAGAACAATTACATTATCCTGTATACATAACATCCTCTTTTTTCGTGCTGTAAAATATTACCCTTACCTCAAAAAAATATTCGGTGGACTCACGCAATGAGTTTAGCAAATAGCTGCTGTTCGTCTTTGAACTTTTAACTAGCGGACATTATTATCAGTAATTTGAGAAACGGTATATTTCAACTTTAGTTTTTTTGGTTGTCTTTCTAGGGTTACCCATGACGAGAAGAAAAAAAATGAGTTTGAAAGCTGAGAATCTGAGCGCTAAGGAATTTGATGTATGCATCGTGTGTCTCCTCAGAGAAACACTTCGTTTGCTTTTTTATCTTTTTTCCGAACTTATGTAACATCTCGCGCCCCATCCTAAGGCCCAAGGACCTCAAGTTTTCAGTCTGTGCGCTTTTCTGCGGGCACTCTTTACCACTGAGCGTGAGAGCAAGACGGGAGCAAAACTTGGTGGGTTTGCGACAATATACAAGAACTACGAGCCTATGCATAAAGAGCTGCGCACTTTGATTCTGCAAAGATCTGGCAAAAAATGCCAGATCGCGGAGTTTAGCAATTTGGCAAAATCGCTGGAGGTACTTAAGGCCTAAGATGAAGCTACTTTCATCGAGTTTATTTGCAGATCTTTTTGTAAAAAATTTCGCTTTAGCATTTTTTAACTTTCGTGCATTCAAAACGCAAGCAAAAGGATGATAATGTTGATAATGTTAAGGTTAAGGATAAAGAATAAAGGATTTGGCGTTTTTAATATCCTCTGCGGTTATGCGGCGAACGCACACTACTTCATAGTTGAAGAGGCAATTGTATGCGTGCGAGATCACTACAATGACTTGCGGAGGCCAACCATTCACCAAGTCAGTGCATTTATCCTGTCAGATTACAATGGTACCCTGGCGTGCTCTCAAGCTGACAATAAGAGCAGTCTGGCA